GGCTATTTTCATTACGTCACAAAAAGTCCTTGATAAATCTCTGTTCAATAAAAAGTTTGGCGAAGCTTTTGTCAGCATCAGCTGTATATTTCTGTATATATTACATCTGATACTGTGATATTAGTTATAATATTAAGCTTGCTTTGCTTTTAAGAAGTCGACAGACACATTCTTTTTAAGTCCATTCCTTTTTATTATTAGTTTAATTTTTAACGTCTGCCATTGGACTAGGGATATTGTTCTCTCCTTTATCAGAGTATAGTCTGTATTTGTATGAAATCTGTACCAGTACAATTACTCAAAACCTATTTAAAACAATACTTAAACAATACAATTAATTGTTCTAAATTAACTATTAAACCTCTTTACAAATCGTTTTCGATGTAAAATAGGTGTTTGTAAAACAATAACAATATTCCTAGCGTTGGATATGCTTCAGCAGAAAGTTGAGGTTCAGCTCCGACCGCATGACAGGTCTGTGATTAATATTTCGTGTGTCTGACTGCCAGACAGACAGACAATGTATTTATGTTTGTGGAGCTAAACTGGAGCACTGCTTTAATATAAAAGGTACAGGAATGTGAAAGTTTTGGGAGAATATTTCTTTTAGGGATGCTAAAAATAGCTCACAGGTCTAAATGTAGTTTTTCGTTCAAAATCAAAGGAAAATTCTAGAAGGGTCTGTTAGAGAGACTGTCATTGAAAATAACTCCGAATTCGGTTATTTTCATTTGTGGAGTAGCCACCAAACACATTTAACTATATTTGATTTCATCAAATACCATATACAAATAACTAAAGCCTCCAAAAATGTGACCTAAATCTGAAGCATCCTCCTGGAATCAGTCACCGCATTTCTGTAGGGCATAAATAAATAATGGCGGCGTGCAATCTAAATAACGTAGAAGCTGTTGATACTCCCTCGTAAACAAGCTCGTAACTTGTGCCAAGGGACTTACACCCTTTTATTGCTGCACAACTTCCCTGATATTGAGGAGTGAGGTGTCGTTAGGGAGGTGAGAGATTTTTGACAGGATCCATTGACTTCGATGGAAATTGATATGGGGTTCTGATTTTGTGGGAGTGTTGACAGTTGTGTCAGTAATTTACTATGTCATGATTGGTTTGCATTTGTCTCAGGATATACGTACTGACTCTGTTCTAAAGGTATAAAATAATAGAATGTGAGATGCCTCTGTAACCATCCTGAAGAATATTACTATCATATGGAAAAGAAATAATTCCAATCGGACTTCCATAATCTTAATATGTGGTAAATATGTGGTATGTAATGTAAATTGTAAAATATGTGGTAAATATTATACTAAGAATAGTTATTACTATACATGGATTTTTCTACACATTACCATTAAGTAATATTAACTTAATATTGTGATATCTTTTTATTACTTCCAGCGCTCATATCGTAAAATATAGATAATAAGAATATTTGACGATGAACATAAAAACTAAGGGTTTTGCTATCATGGATCAACATCATATAGCAGTTTGAAATGATGGAATAAAAACCAATTGTTATCTGAACCAGCAGTTTATTGCAAACTTTAATAAAAATCCAGATTAAAGCAGTCATGCAGTGGTTTTATAAACTGACAAAACCATTATCCTATATGAACAAATTTTGATAGTTCAACCACAGTATATCTGCTTTGATACTGTGCAAAATGTTCCCGTGTGTGGATACAGACTTAGGGCAAGCTGCATTACATGGAAGGCTGGTGGAAAGGAAACCCCGGCTTATGATTTATGACGTATTTCCTCGCGCGGAAAATTGCAAACTCACAGATTCGATAGAGTAACAAAGAATAATGGTATTCATTTTATATTCTCTCTGCTTTACTTTAATGCTTCCTATTTCAGTATTATGATTATTCTTTTGTAATTGTGATGGATTTGTGAAAATTACGACTTTGAAATGCTTTATGAAGAATTTGTATTGTTCAATTTATCGTCTTAATTTCGTATCTGTTATTGTTAAGTTAATCTGTTATGATGACTTCTAATAATATTTATATTAGGACATATTTTGTGCCATAAATTTGTTTGTTTATTTATTCTTCAGTAATTAAGTATGTGCAGTGGGCATTTACATCAGTACATGCTACAGTCTACCAACAAACCGCGTTGGGCCCAGCATGTTTCCTTGCGCGCACCACCACTGTGCTAGTTTTAAATGAATCATGGCGGCTCAGCTCTTTATTTATGTTAATGCTGGTAATCTAGCACCAGCGCGAGGCACCATGATAGCGAACACGCTATATTGTGGCCACCAACTAGCTCGTGTTCCAGTACCTAGCTTTATAGTCACCTAGTTTTACCAGCGTTGTGCTAAGTATTATAAATATTTTTGCAATATAAAATAAAAGAAACTGCGTCAAGTTCAAGTCAGTGATATAAGGGCACGAAGAACATGATTCATTATGATATTAATGCATCAGCAATTTCCTGGACATGATGTGATAATCACCCATATTGACCATACATAAATAAATGATTTCTCAGCTCATTTTGTGTTAGTAGTACTTCATTTCGAATTCTATAATTATTAGCCACACTAATATGTTAAGTGTTGTTTCGTATTCCAGGGTTTCGTGTCGGTCTGCATTATCATACAATCTTTGATAGTCATTCCCAGTATCTGATTAAGACTCGGTGTTGACCCCAACCTAGTTTTGAAAAAGGTTTCTAATACCTAAACCAATTTCAACACAGTTTTGAAACGTACTTAATTAGTAACCCTCATTTTCTCAAAAATATTCACATTTTTATTTTACTGTTTCCATGCTATTCATGCTATGAATACTATAACGTGTCCTTGAATAGCTTTTAAATAAAGCGCTGTTTGATTTCGTACTTAGTATTTCAGTTATTATGGAATCTATTAATTAGGTATTTTAATTTTAGGCTACTGGCTAGGTATTCAATAACAAGTAAAATTAGTACCGTTTGGTAGTGAGCTATTCGTTTTTGTCGATTTCTTAATTAATAATCTTAGTTTACATGCAGTTGTTAATTTCTTGCTTACGAATAAGAGACGAACCGGCAAACGAGCAGACGTATCACCTGATGGTAAGCAATCGGCGTCGCCCATTGACACCTGGAACACCAGAGGGGTTACAGGTGCGTTACCGGCCTTTTGGGGATAAGGAATTTGAGGATTGTTGAGGATTTGGGAGATTGGAAAAGGGGGGAAGGGGTTATTGGGCCTCCGGTAACATGACTCACATGACGAAACACAACGCAAGTGTTGTTTCACGTCGGTTTTCTGTGAGGCCGTGGTATCACTCCGCTCGAGCCGGCCCATGCATGCCAAAACTTCCCACATTTACACTTGAATATGGTAGTTGTATGCATAGTTTATTAAAACGCGATGTAATATTTGTTTTCTTCGAAGAAAAGTAGAATCATCCTGGTCATTATTCCAATTAACGTGGTTTTGTGATAATTATTGGCTATAATGGTGGAATAACATTCTCCATTGAGCTTGAACGTGGATTGACATGATTTGATTGTCAGTACTCGGCTAACAGCGCCACTAATCTGCTAATGAGATCACCTGTCGACTGGCCTGTACGTACATGTTCCAACACTTGACGGATTTGCACTCCCTGTATTGTTTCAACATGGCGGATTATGAGCTTAGGCTTGTATGTAAAGTTAAGCTGAGTTGACTGGTACAATATTTTAGGCTATGCAGTTCAGGTAAATCATATTTTGTTTTGCAGTTCCGGTTAGTAAACTTTTGTTCATACAAGGGTACATTATAAAAATAATATTCACAATGGTATTAAAATGTGAAGATAATTTAATGTAATTCAAAAATTATTAAACCTTCTCAATTATTCTCGAACAAACAACTGTTTTCATACATAATATAGGTAATATAGATCATCTGATCTACTTACACTAAACTAAACAATAAACTAACATAAAATACCCCGCGAACTAAAAAATAATATTATCATAACATAAACATTTCTTTTTAGCAACATTATCACGTCAGTAACCCTTTATCAAGTCGTCGAGTTGTTTATCGCACATCAGGTCCTCGACCCTCGAGATCTGGGATCCATTTAACATGATCAAACGCACCCTATGTCCGTCCCATATCCCCGAGGCGATGTGTAATCGTCCGTTTACGACGTAAACGTTCTTTCCGAAAATTGATTGCAGTTTTCCGAATGTTAGCCACAGATAATTTGAGGCTTGCGAATTGTTTGGTTTAGCTCAGTTTAGTCCGAGAGGAGTGGAGCGTTGAAAGTTGGATATTTCAAGTGTCACAGACAGATAGACTAGTCTGTTGGTTAGTGTTTCATACAGATTTGTTTGTAGGTCTAAGTCTCTAAGTTGAGTCTTTCTCTTTCAACGTTCTCTGTCTAGTATGAGTTGTATGACTATGTGGGATAAACTTCAAAACTACTGTACGAATTTTTATGCGGTTTTAACGAGTAGAAAGATTGAACTTTTCTCAAAAGGCCACTACAGAAAGAACTTGCACGGTTCTTACACATAATCTTTTTATACATTTGTCTGGACTTTAAAAGAGACAGACCTCTGAGTTTGTTTCGGCATTTCTTCTCAGAGTAGTCAGTTAGGAAATGTCGGCCTCATCGTTCGCTTAATGAAATTGACGTGTAAAAGTGCTGTCTTGTAGCCTATTTGCAGAAATAAATTCACTTGTTTCACTTGTTTCACTTGTTTCACTTGAAAAAGATTTAAGAAGGTAATTCATGTATATCTGTGTATCATGACTCATGACATCTTCTCAGAGTAGTCAGTTAGGAAATGTCGGCCTCATCGTTCGCTTAATGAAATTGACGTGTAAAAGTGCTGCCTTGTAGCCTATTTGCAGAAATAAATTCACTTGTTTCACTTGTTTCACTTGAAAAAGATTTAAGAAGGTAATTCATGTATATCTGTGTATCATGACTCATGACATAACAGCGCGAGGCTTATGATATTTTCTCTTTTGTCTCCAGACTCCTCAGCCTGGATGTGTCGTCCCTGGAAGACGTGTACTGGCTGGAGGACAGCACGGCGCGCCACGTGCTCGACCCGAAGGACTTCGGCGCGTGGTCGGCCGCCCGGCAGAGTCTACCCACCGGCAAGGAGGCGCTGCAAACCCTCAAAGCTGATCTATGGAGCGCTGTCGTCAAAAACAGCAAACACCAAGACGCTTGGACCTGGGGTTTGAAAACAATCATATTTATAACATGACATAATAATAAATAACAAGCTTTTTATTCCCAAAGGCTTGAAGTAATAATAATATACTAAAATCCTTAATTTGTTTCATACAAAATAAACATGAAACATAATCTCCATTTTCATATATGCTGTTATTTCGAGAATTGAGTTGAGGTCGAACTTAATGCAGACTCCGTCCTCCGATTTAGAGTTTTCGAAAACCACAACTCTAATTATAACTAAAACCGGCAGAAATCCTTGAAAGAGGCAGTAATAGTATTAATAACTCCCTATTTTGTCTGTACCTGCAGGTGGGATGCTGGTGGTATCAGTGTCTGTGTGCGGGCTGGTGACGCTGGCCGCCATGACGCAGCCCTCGCTCGCGCCCGAGGCCAAGCACTCCTTGCTGCAGTACGTCACCGGGAAATATCTACACCCGCCTAGTTGTAGGGTATTTATCACATTTTTTTTATATTGTTACGTCTATCTCCCACAGGTGAATGGCGATCATTGGTATTTGGTATACCTCTTTCGTATCTACGACATCGGCCCACATGTTTTTGAGCATACTCATCTATTTAAAGAACTCATAACAATTTGAACCTTTTTAATACAATGCCTGCCTAATCAATATATTTTTCTAAACTACAATCTATCCTCTCCATAAGTATATGAGTAATCTATCGTATCATCAGTCTTTACCTTTTCTTTAATTTCATTTCATATTTAAAGTTTGCATAGCTTTACTCAATTTTGTATATTTTTAGATTATAAATATTTGAGGTTTCATGTTATATTTTTCACCTGGCCTTCTATAAATAGTCGCCCTTTGAAACTCATGCCGTAAGGGACACATTGGCAAGCGAAGTGTGGGCGGAATACAAGTGTAGGTTGTATAGGCAATGTTATCTTTCTGGAACTTCGTTAAGTGTTCGTCGAGAAAACAGACTGTAAGCCAGGAAATTGAGTTAGTGTTAGAAAAATGGAAATATTACATTGAAGTACTTTACACTTTTCTCTAAGTAGTCCCTTATCGTCACAGCAAATGAAATCCCGTCACCCCCCACATAACTAGCAAATGAAATCTCACTTCTAATTTGACTTCTGAGAAATTGTAACTTTTAGACATCTTTTGATCGGATCGAGAAACAGACAATGATGTTCTTAATAATCGATCTCACAACAACTTTCTAGCATTAAATTATTGGTTTTTAATACATTGAGGCTGGTTTTAATATGTTCTTCTATCAATCTTCTGATCTCCAGGTAGAATGGGGTTGGACAGAGCCCCAAGCGGTGGGCGAGACCATGTGCTTCACCGTCCACTGCTTCCAACGCAATGGTCAGCCCTACCCCATCTGCGACACTGACGAACTCACGGTGGCCATTACCCACGGTTCCAGGAAAGTGAGTGGGGTTGGATTTAACTTCTGGGTGATTCATCACATTTTTAACACAATTTTATCGACATTATTATCCTCTATACAAACTAAAGCAATCAGAAACAGTAATGAAGTTACTAAATTACAACTTGGGAGGATAATAACTGTCCAATTAATGTTAAGCTGTTTTCTATTAACTCTTCTTCTACTTGACCTTTTCAATTAATTGCTTTATGCTCGGAAATTTGTCACTAATACATAATATTTAAATGTTAATAAAGGCTTTGATAGGGTTTCTTTCTGATTTAATTGAATATCTGTGTATTTTATCGCAACGGGTGTGAGATCTTCGCGGTATGAATATTACTGCAGGTGACGGCGGTCATAGAGCTTGGGTCTGGGGACCCGGCGCAGGCCAATACTGCGCGGGTCAAGTTTACTGTCAGGCAGGCTGGTGTTTACATCGTGTCCGTCATGATCGGTAAGTTCACAGCACATAGTTTGAGTATGAATGTTATCTCCAAAGTTTTGTAATGTCCATTTAGAACGTTTTTGTTGACTCATAAACTTCAGTTTCACCCTAAATAAATTTCAGTGTATTTGTAATCATCAAGTTTGTAAGATACCTATGTGTAAAGCCAACTCGACTTGAGTGATGTGTCACTGTGTAGGGCTGGTGCCGGTGGCGGGCAGTCCGTTCCGCAAGTGGTTCACTGCGGGCGGCGTGGAGGCGCGGCGGTCGCGCGTGGGGCGCGCGCACCACGCGCTCGTGTTCGCCGCGCAGCACGCGCGCGCGCTGCACGTGCACCCGCGCGACCACTACGACAACCCCGCGCCGCTCACTGACCACGAGGTACATAGCCTTACTTTCTGCTCAGTACGTTGGACCCAATGTACAACCTTGAGGCACCCCTTAATAAACTAGGTCTTGACTCTTAACATATTGAATAAAACAAAAATGTATATTGCGTTAGTGATATTTAATTTGTTACATTTAGATCCAGAAATAGTACACATTAAATTTAAAAAGTTGGCGTTAAATTTTTCATTATTATTCTCAATCAAAGGCTTAAGTCAAATCATAGAATACTTTCTAATTCTGTTTTATCTAAGTATTATACTAAAGTGTGTGGGTTAATTCTGAATAAAAGTCTCTCCAGGGGTTCTCCATCGAGATCAGTCCGCTGGGTGGCGAGGTGGACGAGTCGCTATCATCCGCGGCGACATTTTCATACGACTCAGTGAACCAACGAGTGAGCGTGTCGCTGTGCTTCGAGCGCGCCGGCCTGTACCGCGCGCGAGTACTGTACCGCGGACAGATGCTGCATAATGGGGAGTTTGACTGCATCGTACTTACTGGTATGTACCATACATAAATACCGTAATTTATATTTACTGCTTTATCGCTTCCTGTAGGGAAGTAGTCATTGACTTTTATGGACATTATACCAAATTTAAGCAAAGTCAAAGCATTTATTTCAAATAGGCACTTTTGTAATATCGAAATTGAATTGTCGTTAATGAAACTGGGTACTCCTTCCAAAACGTAGGTTCGTGTGGAGCAACTTATTCAAATCTACGATAACTTAGAACTCTATATATGAATGTTTCAATGCGTAAACGGAGTATAATGTAATCCAATACGTCCGTAGCGAGTGACACGGCGACGGTGCAGCGCAATATATCGTCGAAGCGTCACAACATCTGCTACGAGGCGCGGCTCCTGTCCGGCAAGCCGCGCCGCGTGCTCTGCTGCATCAGTCCCAAACAACTCACGCTCAAGGACTATCTCTTCAAGTTTATCCCCAAGAGGATCACCAGCTTCCGTCTCTGTCCTTCCACTAAGGTAATCATCATTATGACCCATTGTCTGTTTTCAACGGAGCTTAAACTTTTTAATTTTTTACCTCGTTCAATCTTTCTTCACCAGTGTGTTTATATTGATTGTATTTTTCAACGGTTATAACTTATACCAGATATTGCTAAAAATAGTAAAATGTTCATATATTTTACTTAAAAGTACAAACTGTGCAACTGTATAAGTCAATCATGAAAAAAAGTAACTTTATTACGGACACTTCTTTTTTTATGGGTTAGCCGGTAAACGAGAAGACGGATCACCTGAAGGTAAGCAATCAGCATCGCACAGGGACATTCGGAACATCAGAGGCGTTACAAGTGCGTTACCGGCCTTTTAGGAATTAAGAATTTGAACCTTACTCACACGACGAAACACAACGCAACCCTTGTTTCATATTGGTTTTATGCTCGGCCGTGGTGTCACTCCGGTCGAGCCGGCTCATTCGCTGAAACATGGCTCTCCCACAGTTAACAAAGGTTTTATTATTTCAGTCTGACATTTCGATACTTGTGAAGCTGTGGTAACGTGTTCGTCCCGTGTCCAGTTGATCCTGAAGCCGAGCGCGGCGGGCGCGGGCCCGGGCGGGTCGTTCACGCTGGAGGACGGCGTGCAGCCCCAGCTGGAGCTGGTGTCGGCCGAGCGCGACCTCATCGCCGCCACCTTCACGCAGCTACTCATCGCCAACTGCGGCGGGGAGGACACGTTCAAGGTACGGACCATTTATTGCAAACACTTATTGTTTTCTTTAGATTTTTTTATCCTCGGATAATCGAATGATTTTAATCTTCAGGTATAATCTTTTATATTATCAATAATATCACTGTGTCTTAAGAAGTGGTTGGTATATGGTAATAAACCTCGTTCCCTATTACATTTATGGTTTTGTCAGTTTCACTAACTCCTTCCCTATCAACATCTGCCTTCTTTCTTCTTGTCCTAAATATTATCTCCTTCTCCATCCCCAGAACAAGCAAGACTTCTTCTACAGTGAGATCCGCAAGGCCCACTCCCGGCACCCGCACGAGAAGCTCGCCATCCGCGTCGTCCGCAGCGAGCTACTGCGGTCCAGCCTCAAGGCCACCAGGCACTTCGCCGTGCAGGACTGGTGCAAGAACTTCGACATCACATTCCAAGGGGAACAGGGTACGGATTTTTTATTTTATGAAGGCCTATACACTCTTGACTTCAGGTAAAAACTAAATACATTATAATTTAGCTAATATCAAGTCCACACATATACATAAATTGGTTTACAATTAGAGTTCTGAAAAATTATTCTTTCCATTCTAATCAAGGACTGGTCTATCTACTTGCTCAGTTTTGCGTACTCCAATTTGTAATAGATTTCGATCCCGGAATTTTACTTTTATGCTGATAACAAATTCGTAACAGGCATGTTACACTCCTAAGCATTTACAACGAGATGCATCCAAACTAAAAATGGATAATTGTCGCAGTACTCTTTATGGCAAGAATTGTGCAATAATGGCAATTAGAGTATATAATAAAATTCCTCGATCTATTAGAGAACTACCTTTGCGTCAATTTAGAATTAAGTTGAAAGCATGGGTAATTGAAAAATGTTTTTACAGTATTAAAGACTTCATTGACTATGGAATCGTAGAACGAAATAGATTTTAATATTATGACATGTAATTTTACAGACATAATGCCTTGACATGTATTTAAAAAATTAATTAGACATTTTGGAATCATTATTTTGACATTACGTAATAATTAATCAATGAAATTGGATTTATATTCTATATTATATAAAGTGCCTTATAAACAAACATTTGCATGCTTGGAAAAGGTGGAATACACTGTACTGTTAAAAATTAGACTAAGATCCATTGTATCACATGTTCCTGCGAATAAATTTCTATTCTATTCTATTCTATTGTAAAAAATTTAGTTGGACCTATTATAGAGCCTTGAGGCAAACCTTAAAGTAATAAGCTGTGTTTGCAATGTAAGCGACTCCTTAGAATAGATGTTTGTACTTCCAGGCGTGGACTGGGGCGGAGTCCGCCGCGAATGGTTCTCGTTACTGTGTGGTCAACTGTTCGATCCCAAATTCGGTCTGTTTGTGTCATTCCACGACTCCCCTACTGGACTCGTACATCCCAACCCGGATAGACCGCCGCATCTCAAGGTAATATACACTAATCGTTTAAATATTGGAAGTTTTTGACTTATTATCTACACGTAAACGAGCTGACGAATCATCTGATGGCAAGCAATTAGCGCCCATGGACTCGCAGATCACCAGAGGCGTTACAAGTGTGTTACCGGCCTTTTGGGGATTAAGATTTTGAGGATAATTGGGAATTTATTGATTGGGGAGGGGGGTGATTGGGCCTCCAGTAAGTTCACTCACACGACGAAACACAACGCAAGCGTTGCTTCACGTCGGTTTTCTGTGAGGCCGTGGTATCACTCCGGTTGAGCAGGCCCATTCGTGCCGAAACATTTTAAAGTATAATTTATATTGATGTCTCAACTTTATATGTGCTCTAAAATATTAATTAACTCTAAAATCGTTTGTAACTGTTATAGTTGAAGCACTTCGAGTTGGCGGGTAAGCTGGTGGGTAAGTGCGTGTACGAGAGTGCGCTAGGAGGCTCCTACCGACAACTTGTGAGGGCCAGGCTCACGCGGTCCTTCCTCGCGCAGATCATTGGACTACGGGTGCACTATAAGGTAAAAGTTTGTTACTCAGTGCATGAGCTTATCCGTACATCGTCCATAAAATATATTCTTGTTTTTTTTTTTTAAACTTTGCCCCACACAAATTTTTGTCCTGTGTCGTGTGTGCTTTTACAAATATACAAGTTCACGTACACATGACATCCAGACCCGAAACGACAATCTGTGGATGACACAAAGAGTTGTTCCATGCGGGAACCCACGACATATTGCGCAGTAGCCAATTGCCAAGTCACCGCGCTAACCATGCTGTCAACATTATCACACTTTTAGGTGGTAACAGTACGTAGACGACGTCCAGAAGTAGGCCAGAGTCAGTCAAATACCTCAATATAATGAGAAACCAAAAAATAAATAGGCTACCTTCCTTATTACAAGAATTTTTCAAACAATATGATTAAAACATAACTACATTAATATTAAAGATTCTCATAAGGCTTGACAATTGTATAATCCTTGTAAAAGTTATCAGCTTCCCTCTCGCTCCCCCAGTACTTCGAGCAGGACGACCCCGAGCTGTACCTGTCCAAGATAAAGTACGTGCTGGAGACAGACCTGGACGGCGGGGACTCCGTGCCCGAGCTGTACTTCGCGGACGACGTGTACGACTCGTCCGGACGACTCGTCGAGACCCACGACCTACTGCCCAACGGGGCTACCATCAGGGTCAGTAGACATTATCTCTGTGTCAATAACAAAATCATAAATCCGACACTTTTCGTTTTTATGACTGTTTATTTAGTTTGGCTAACTAAATATTTGTTTTCTTTTTCATATTTGATGGGCCGATGTTTAGTCATTATCTCACTATCTATCTGTTTAGATAGTCCGACATAAGTTGTTCGTTATTATGTTTAATTTGTGATCAGTAAGGTATTAAAGTAGTTGTCATTAGACAAATTTGTGACTTCGGCATAATTACGTATTGATACAGCGCACCACTTCAAACTTATAGACCATATTTTTGCGCACTAGATGGCACAAACGTAGGGAGACGTTTTTTAGCCCAATCACCGTAGCTGTCAACAATTAATGACCAACGGTGTGACACTACCTAACTCCTTATTGGACGAAAAGACGAGAGGTTCACACTACCTCCATCAATAATAGTCCCCATTTATTGAAGCCATACATACATATATAACCTCACGCCTGTCTCCCACGGGGGTAAGGGTTTGATGGTATTCACAATTGCTACGATTCCATATTATTGAAGCCAGTTTATAATATTATCCTATTTCATTAACCTGTTGATTCAAGTGACATAAAATTTGCCCTAGTTTAAATCCCCATGTCCCCCGGTCCCCCAGGTCTGCAACAGCAACAAGATCTCGTACCTGGACGCGCTGGCCCAGTGGCGGCTGGCCGCGCGGGTGCGAGCCGAGACCGAGGCCTTCCTGCGGGGCCTCGCTGTACTCGTGCCAGACAATCTGCTCGCCATATTTGATGAGAACGAACTCGAGTTACTGCTATGTGGCACTGGGGAACTGTCTGTCCATGACTGGCGGACGCATGCACTAGTGGCCGGCTCGGGCAGAGACTGGGAGCGAGTGCTGGCGTGGTTCTGGGCCGCGTTGTCCAGTTTCACTACTGAAGAGCGAGCCAGACTGCTGCAGTTTACTACTGGGTGCTCGCAGCTGCCGCCTGGTGGATTCCAGGTAAGTTTAATGTTTGGTTGTGATGCAATTTTGTTTTTAGAGTATGCGTTGTACATCATGTACGGCATATGTATGGTAGTCTTTGTGTCTACTAAAGAAAAATTTAAAGCTGATTCTTGAATAATTTTGTCATGATCAGGCTTTGTGGGGATTAGGATTTTGAGGATTGTTACGGATCCAGGGATTGGAGAGGGGAAGGAAGGATAATTGAACCTTCGGATTCACTCAATGTGGAACATTGCAAGCGTTGTTCTGCTCGTTGGTGGTATCACTCCGGTCGAGTCGACCCATTGGTGGCAAAGTGTAGCTCTCCCACACTTAGAATTCCCTTCTACTAAGTTGTTTACTTACACATGCAAACATCAAGTATAACAGAATTAAATGTCCAATTGGCAGGAGCTGAACCCCCGGTTCCAGATAACGGCGGCGCCCAACTTCGGCGCGCTGCCCACCGCCCACACGTGCTTCAACCAGCTGTGCCTGCCCGACTACGACTCGTACGAGCAACTCGTGCACGCGCTGCTCTGGGCCATCAACGAGGGCGGGGAGGGCTTCGGCATGATATAGGCATCCATCTACTGGGTATACACATGTATCTAACACTTATAATTGTGGTTCAGGCCGTAGCCTGTGTGTAACAAAAGGTATTCAATTTCGTAAAATTGAATACCTTTTGTTTTAGCACGTATGGTAATGAACATGTCTTAAGTCGCAGTTCGATTAGTATAAAAACTTATCATTTTTCCTTGGGAAAATGCTAAAGAAAAATTGTTTAGTTGTACGTCCTGAACCAATATGGCCTTTAATAGCTGAACATTTTACTTTCAGTAACTACAATGCTTGCTCGATTTTCTTTAATTCAATCTTCTACAATTAAGTGCTCTTAAACTTGTACAGCCGATCTTTTAATGGCATTTCAAACTTGTATGTATAATTTGACTAATTTCATAATATTGGTTTTAACCACAAAAATCGAGCAAACTTCTTTAAAACACGCGTGTACAATTAAATATTTGGTGAGGCAGTCTTTAAAAATATAATTTATTTGACATTCAAGACAATTTGTGATACAATCGTCATTTGAACATAATGTTAATGTACGTTTTTATTTATTTGACAAACATGTCCATTGCTAGACATTTGTTTATAATTAGCATTTAATATCGTGGGATCGAAAGTATCTAATTTCAATAAATATAAGCGAGTGGATTTGAGCTAGTCAACACTACGTCACAGAAGTATGTGTCAGTGCACGCGGCCGGCGGTGGACACCTCGAGTCCCCCGACAAGTACCTCGCAGGCGCGGCCGCTGTATGTCCAGTTGGCGCGTATGTTGCGGCGCCCCTCGGTAACCTGCAGCTGTAGCCAAATGCCACTTAGCGCTTGTCTACATGTAGAATAGAAAACCAAATTACCTATATGAGATTGACGTTAATTTTGACACTTGTCAGTGTCATCCCTATACATTTGGTTTTCTACTCTCTCTGTAGACAAACGCTAAAATGGCGTTTGGCCAAAGGCACTGGCGTCCGAGATACTTTGCTACTTTGCCTTTGGTATAATACAGCCCTGCTTACGGCCCATACAAGGAGAAAAACTTAAATATGAAGAGGCTCCAATATATACTAAAAAAATTATTGAATATTTTATACGTAAAGCTATCATGGGTCCACGAGCCATTAAGTTAATTGGAATCCTGCCAAAGAAGATGTCCATTCTACTTGGAATTGATGAACATGTGACAATAACAAGTTAGTTAACATCATGTTATTTGTCAAGTTATTAATAAGACGAGTTCACACTCGATCAAACTAAAATATAAATGAACGATTTAAACAATGAAAATATTAAATAATATGGAAGTCAGGAATACTGAGAAGAGATGACAAAAATATAGTAAAGCAACAGATTGCCTAAAAAACTGACGGAATTAATATCATTCGTGTTTGTATACAAATACAAGTATTTTACTTGTAAGATTTTATTTATTACTCAAATTTTAATAGATTGATTCAATAGTTCAGTAGCTATTTAATCTAGTTACTTAGAACAATGATTCCTTTTCATTACCAAATTCTGATAGTGCTCCCTAACTATATATATTTAGTTAGGGACCACTATAATAAGTACGTTTTAAGTTATAATATTTGCGCCAGTAATTCATTTTCATTAAGCTTTGAATTTTCCAAAAATTGTAGTATTTTATTACTTCTTAAATTATTTCCAAAAAGTACCTAGTGTATAATCTAGATCTGAAATGCAAACATAGCTTAATGTTTAAAAAGAGTTAAATGGAGTTATTTCGTAAGACCAGTAATATTGTCCGTATTATTTGGTAGTACTAGTATTTCGCGGCTATGTTCTTAAATGTTATATTTATTTATACTTTATATTAATATATTGTACCAAAATTCACTCTAATTACGAAACTTTCAACAGTGGAAAACACTGATAAAAATATAGATTTTAGATTTCTGACTTTAAACATTTTTCTAAACAAAATAATACTGTATTACCTCTGGACGAATAAAACATTTATAATAATTATTATATACAGCTGAATTACAAAAATAATTGTTTAATTATTTATATAAAAAAGAGTCAGTCTTATTTTTTTTAGTACAAACTTTGGCCTAAACTATTCTATGACTCCAATCTAAACTCCAAAGTTGCATTTAATATAAATAATTAATAATAAATAATACATAATACGTGTAATAAATTATAAATTCTAATTCTTATGTGTACTTCTGTGTGTGATTGTGTTTGAATGTAAGTCTTATATACAGTAACAATTGTGTACCATTATCTATATTTTGGTAAACTTATAATTCGTTGAATACCGACGTGTTTGATTAATTTTTGATCACAAAATCGAAGCCAAATACTTTAAATATGTACTAAAATATATTTAATAAAGTAAAAGTCACGGTCTATCAGTAACAATATAATATATAAGTTATTCCTTTGCTATAAAACGGTAGGCAACACACTAGAGACATAGCAGCTACCCAGACTTTGTAACCAGAAAAAATTACACTGGTACTGGGGTTATTATTTAGGGAACGCAATTTGGAAATCTTTTGACTGATGCGTTCCATTTGTCCGAAATGGTAATAAAGTGCATAATCATTAAAATAATCAACATAAAAAATCATCATAAGTTTATTACGCTCTTAAATATATGATACAAAAGCTCATGAAATTTAATCAAGTAATCAAGTATAGTATTTTATTAATTTTAACACAAATGTTACTGTAGGTGTAACTTAGTGTCACGCAAAGATGTTAGTGTTCAATCAAAGTTATTATTACATTTAAGTTTCAACTTGTTAAGTATATAAGTATGGTTCTAGTCATATGATACTCTAGTTGTCGCAATTTGATTGCATTTACTTCGTGTTTGGGAGGAGACATCTTTCAATATTTCTTTATATTTAATCAAAGTATTGTATGTAAGATGTTATTTAGTTTAAGTTAAAGTTATGTTTGTTTCGGTTGTGATTCAATAAGTTTCAATATATTCTGTTTACTAGTCGAATTTTAAGGCTTACTTGTCATTGTTAAGAGGCACAAACTGTTGAGCATTTTGTTATGTGTTTAATCTTTCATTGTATGAAGAAGGGAACGACTATTTAGTGTCTAATAGACATCGACCATAAGAGTGTTTATCCATTATTCATCCACTAAGATAATGGATCGCGTACAGTGAAACACTATTTTGATGTCGTCTGAAAGATTAGCTAGTCTAAAATACTAACAAAAGTGAATGATAAAATGCCAGGTAACAATGTAATGAATAATTTCATGTCGACTCTCCAAACACATGCGCACCATTCTAAAGCTATCTGTTAGCCATTTATTTATTTGATTATATAGTACATACTTGTTACGTATTTCCTTTTAATGCCATATTTGTCATTTAAGTTATAAGTAAAAGTTCCAACTGGTCAATGATAAAAAAACGATTAATTATAACGTGGGCCATGTTACGTAACAAATATGGCATTAACCTTTTACAAATTATGTAGAAGTGTAATTTAAGTAATTTGATGTAATTTTATAAATAGCTGACATCTTGTATATATCTATTTCAAACTTAATGCGACCTGGACTAATGGTACGGAGATATAAACAAAAAAGTTAAGCCGTGTCATACCTATGATACTTCCGGCGTGGAAAACAAATTCAATTAGCCTTTTTCCTGGGAAGATTAAAAAAATCCGCTAGGTGCAGCACCGGTGGGGGGGTACATATGTTTTGAATTCTCTATTGAAAACAACGTCAAACGTGTAGAATTAAAATGGAATTAACTGAAGATGATGTACCTTTTTTTATTTTATCAATTGTTAAATCTGTCCTTCGTGATAAGTGTATCCACTCCAAACACTTTTTTTTGTTAACTTGTGGTTTTATAAATGGCACTAATTTTACACCATCTTGCTTGTACCGACTATCAGACGTACAATTTGCGAATGCGCAATGTTTTGTAGGCATGACTATTTTTTAAAAAAAAATTTTTATCACAATATTTATTTATTCTGATAATAATAAGACGTACGTTTGACGTTGTTGTCAATAGAGAATTCAAAACATATGTACCCCCCCACCGGTGCTGCCCCTAGCGGATTCTTTTTTAATCTTCCCAGGAAAAAGGCTAATTCTACAGAGATAACACGGTAATTTGTTATCAGGGACGGGCACAGGGCACTGTATTATCACTCAGGTTCAAATTAGAGATCATGCAGATATATTAATAATTACGAGATGCATTATTGTGTATGACTACCTCGACGGCCTAGTGGTCCCAAATGCGACAGCCGGGCAAGGTGTCTTTGGTCGATTAAAAAAAAATCCCTAATCCCCCTATTACATGGCACTCAAAACATAAAAGTGGATGTTACTTAGTACAGTGGCATTAAGTGCCGTAATGTGCACCTCTGCCTAATCCTTCGGGGATAAATGATGTTATGTTATTGTGTAAAATAGCTTTAAAACACCTCTGTGTTACATAGATTTCTCTAATTTTTTAAGCTTTCTCTAATATAATAAATTCTTTAATTTTCATACCTTGTACTGGCGAAATCTCGGTGCACCTTTTTTATATTAGATGGGACTGACGTTTCTAAGTGAGAAATCTTTTGCATCTTGAGTGAAAAAGTTTCAACTCGGCTATTTCTGACGCAGTCGGTTAATGCTGCGTACATAATATAGCATACTACTATTTGGTAGTCAAAAGAAAAATGGTGGTAAATAATTCATCCTACCAATGTTTAATGTATGTTGTCTGTTTACCTGTGTGAATGAATCTCCGTGCCATTGTCCTGAACGTCGACAATGTTTATGTAGTAAGGGGGCGAGCAGAATTGTAGGCCTAATCTGCATATAGTGGCTTCGTATTATTTATATAATTTTATTACAAGTATTTAAAGCACCTGAATATGTACGCAGTATTTCAGTGAATTAGTATTGTTTTATTATAATTATTTATCGCTACATAACTCCCTCACTGCGTCTGTCTGTTCGCGAACTCAAAAACTGCTGAACAACTTTTGATGCAGTTTCAGTTTGTGCCAGTGCATTTGTGAAGGTATCTGAGTACCTATCGGAAGCAGAAAGCTTTGAGTATTTTAATGTATTTATAAATTGTATTATTTTCATGAATTTAAACTATATGTATGTACATATTTATGTTAATAAATTAGACATTACCTACCTATAGTATAGTTTGTACAGAACTACATGTATGTATTGTGTATGTATGTTTGTTTGTGCATGGCTCGCCCCCAGTGATAGGAACCATTCCAAATGTTGATATTTTGTAGTTGAAACATTGTTGATTAGAAATGTAAGACTGAAATAAATTGATGACGTCAGAGCCCTTGTCTTATTACCACGTGGGTTATTCATAAATGCACACACTAATCGACTTCTAAAGAAGATACTGTTATAAAAATCCGTTTTAGAATAATAGAACTATGCGTGCCACATTAACTAAAAACGCGGGTTACTCACATGAATATACTGAGAAAAGCTCTACTAGTTTCGAACCACAGAGGGGTGGGCGAACCAGTGAGCTGCGTGACGTCGCCGCGACCGCGCACGCTGCTCATGAGGAAGAACCCCTCTGTACTTCGAAACTAGTAGAGCTTTTCTCAGTATATTCACGTGAGTAACCCGCGACTTAGTTAATTTAGTATGTCTCACGATAGTTATTATAAAAACATGACACATTTGTTTACAATATTTATTTAAATAAGTAATTTAAGTAAACAATCACTTACAAATACACTCGAGTGCCAACAACATTATTATAATTAAATTAAATTAATCTAAATTTAAAACTTGGACATCTTACATCCTTATAGAAAAGTAAATTGACTTACCAAACTTACCTTGTAAATGTTATCAATAACTCGATCGATGTTGCTAACCAAATGTTCAAAATAGAATAGTGTCAATGTAACAAACTGACATATGAGTGACGTAAGCTAATGTCAATCCTAATGCATTGACTTCTGTATTCTATTCGACTATTGGCTGCTAGCACTTAAGAAGAATGTTATAAATATGATAGAATATAATCAGTCTTATGTCGAAGGTGTTAATGTTCATATTCCGTTTATGTTTGTTTTGGCTATGGTATACCATGTCGTGCTGGTATGAGCGTCCATATTATGGCTTCTGGCACAGCCTTGGGGTTGCGAAACCATGACCGCGCTGCACCCAGCATCCTGTAGACAACATTTTTTACTCATTTTTGGGATAAGACGGTAAACGAGCAGACGGATCACCTGATGGTAAGCAATCGGCGTCGCTTATGGACACCTGGAACACCAGAGGCGTTACAAGATATAGATACCGGCCTTTTGGGGATTTTGAGTTTGAGGATTGCTCCCTCATAAAGTAAGCGTTGCTTCACGTCTGTTTTCTGTGAGACTCCGGTCGAGCCGGCCCATTCGTGCCGAAGCATGGCTCTTCCACAAATGTAATGTCCAAAAATAAAGATACTTGGACTTAAAAAGGACGTGAAAAGGTAAGTACCTACTGGCCTAACTCTTGTGGTTGCACATTAAATTGGAATTGATAAAATAAATGTGTCGGATAGTCCTTAAGTCTTAAGTGAAATCGAGGGGCAGGATGTAATGGCTGTCTGTCATGAAAATAAAAACTAGAGGTTTTTATTTCCACGTGGTAGTATCTATAATAGATTTGAAGGTGATCGTACTTGGTGAGTGGTCGTGGCCACCAGTCGAGCTGCTCCTTAGTGACGGCGAGGTCGTGCTGCAGGCGCGCGAGCTCCCCGCGCAGGGCGGCGAGGTCGCCGCGCAGCGCGCCCGTCTCGTCCGCCGCCGCACTCACGCGCGCCGTCAGCTCCGCGCACTCGCGGGAACATTGCGACCTAGCCCTGGTAGGAGACAAGCCCCAATTATATTTATTATTATGTATGTCTTTACCATTCACGGGACCACAGGGTCCCGGTCATTTGGGAGACGTACGAGGGGCCGAAGCCAACTGCGCAGAGGCCCTTTAGACAACTTTAATCTAAATGTAATGGACACACAAAAACATCTTTACCTCAAACTTGGGAGTTTCTTTTGTGTCGCCTGACTTATGCTGTGCTAAAATATACACGTCACATCCAGACACGTGAACAACAATTTGTGGATCACACAAAGAATGGGAATCAATCTTGTGACATGTTTCAAAGCAGCCGGTCGCCCGGTGAGTGCAGCAAGTGACAATCGACTGCCATCAAATATTTATCAAAGTGTCCTAAGATCATAGACCCTCATCATCATCGCCATATTATCAGCTATTAAACATCTACCGCTGAACGTAGGCCTCGTGTAATGATGGGCCTTCCAGATAGGCCGGTTGGAATCACTTCCTACATAGGGAGCCCCCTACGATGTTTATCAGACAGTTACTCTGTCCGTAGACCCCTGACTAAGATGAAATCAACTCGCAAAGATAAGCAGCTACGATAAGGCAGGTAGGTAATTTGTTTTGTGAAAGACTAATCTGGAATATTCCCTTCTTTTGTTTCCTGCAAAGGTAAGGAACAGGTAGCTGGAAGATGTATAATACTAATAATCCAAATAACCACTCAATAATTGGGGCAGCCGACGGGTAATTTATTAAAGGTAGTTTGGTGATTTGTCATGTCATGAAAACAAATAAAATGGAAGAAAAATAATCTTCTTTCGTCATTATCTATATTCTAAACAAAAAATAAATTTAAAATCTTGTCACTTCTCTTAAGCAATCGATTAAAAAATGATGATGAATTATAACCGAAGCACTTAACAATACGTTAAATTCTATAGTTCATTACTTTTTTAGTTGTTTAGTAGCTTTTGTTAGATAAACTTAAGTTAAAATATCTAGATAAAACATAATACATTAAACTAGATACTGACTCCTCCTCATACGCGAGCTTCTCAATCGTGGCATCGAGGAGTCTCTGCTTCTCGTCAGTCTCCCGGCGCAGCGCGGCCACCTCGGCCTCCGCTGACGCCAGCAACTCCTCGTGCTGCGCCAGGTCCTCCTCTAGTATCGCCAACTGAAACACAAGGAAATTATCGTGCCAATTGCCATGTACTATTTAGAAATGGTTGAATCTTTATAATAATGTGGAAACAAGTCGGTAGTTTATATTGAACTGTTTAAAAGATTAGGGAAGTTAGGAATAGTCATTTATTAATTATACTGTGTGTGTGTGTGTAATAAGGTTTCTGGTCTCTCTCTTCAGTCGTGCGTGTCGGATTGGTATCGATCAAATCACATATCATGAGGGAATAGAGAGTATAGATATCATGAATACCACTTCGCTACCAATCAGAGCAAGTTTTCCCAAACATTCTGTAATTACTGAGGGGAGTGTTATTCAATGCGCGGTGCTGATGTCTTCTGAAAGCTAGTAAGAGTCATATTGTTTAATTGTAAGACTAACCCTATCATAAGCATCATCTCTGGAGGCGAGCGTGTCGGTGTGCGCGGCGCGCTCCAGTGCAAGCGCGTGCTCGCTTACGGCCGCGGCTGCGCGCACGCCGTCCAACTCGTTGCGGCAGTTACGCCACCCTACACATGATATCATACTAAAACTTACGGAAATAGTTTAAAACTATTTCGTATAACAATATCAACACAAGTTGTTAAGTACCCTGAAACAGGGGGCTACTGCATTGGGCACTATGATTGGGAAAATCTGCATCGAAGAATTTAACAACATTTTTGTCAACTTGCGGGTTGGCCGTAAAACAGGTTTCGAAAAAAATGATAAAACAAAAGTAACTCACCAATACTCATTTCAGAAGCGCGGTCTTCAGCAGCACATACATCATCTTCCAGAGCCAATTTTTCCTGATGATAATACTCATGTTAATTAAAACCAATCCAGTAACAACGTCGTGCAACACGTAGGAGTAGGACTCACTCGTTCCAGTACAGCCTTTTCTAACTCCTTGTCCCTGAGCAGCTGCTTCAGTCGTTCCAGCTCTCGCATCGCCAACCTTACTTTTGAGTTGTCAGAATCTAGCAGGGACTTCAGAGCAGAAATTTGAATCCGCAGCCGTTCCGAATATGACACCTAAAAGCAATATCGCCACTAATTGATAAGATTCTTAGTAGTGACATGGAGTCTGTAATTGAGGTATAGTAAATATTATTATGTACGCCCCCTATTACTCGGGATGCCTAACAAAACTGGCCAGTAGTGGGTGTTACCTCTGGCATTTCGAGGAATAAAAAATGTGATATTGTGACGAACCTGTGTTTCCAAAGTCTTGCGAAGACACCTGACGTCCTCACGCCGCCGCCTCCAAGCAGCCACCAGCATGAACTGGCAGATCTTGGCGGCCGCCGCCTCCTCAGCAGGACCATGCACACTCGGAGACGCAAGCACCGGCAGCAAGTTCCTCCTAAACAATCAACTACGAATTTTGAACTTTTGACGTTAAGCAGTTCCTACCTAGATTTATAATCATCATATAGCACGCGTATGTGGAAAGCAAGACGTCTTGGACTGTGTATATGTTGAAATACTTTACTGATTGTACATTACTTTAGTCGGGGCCAGGTTCACCAAGGGCCTAATCTCTATTCAGTTCAGATATCTAAGTATTCAGTCTTAAGGGAACCGTGTAGATCACTGCCTCTTCTAACCTGTCAATGCGAATCCGTTTAGTAGGCGTCAGATCTTCCATGGAAGCCGCCTTAGTCTTGGCGACAGACCTTGTAGGAGTCTCCTGGTTGGCGTAGGCATCCAGACAGCTTCGGATCCTTTCCAGGTTGGGACTGGGGCCGCACCATTTGGCTGTAAACTTGTTCACGGGAGCTGAGAACAGCTGCTTCTTCGGATGAGCTGGTTGCACGCGACTGTAGAGAAGATAACTATTTAACATTTGTAATACGTGAGCTCATCCTGATTTTGCGTAAGTACTATTATTTATAGACTTTATGTTAGGATCTCTCGTGGGCGTAAACAGAACATTTTTATAATAATTTAGTATTTAGATACTGATCTAAGTACCTACTAAATAATTACAAAAATTAAAATCAATGGTTTCTTACATTTCTTTGACATTTTATAGAAATAATAATTTTGAAAAAACAAATATTTACACAAAAGAGCACAGCGGTGGTTACCGTTTCGTATTATTTTACAGTTTACATGGGATTTCACATTGTTGTGATGTCACACGGTGTAACGTTAAATTGTGATTTTCCAAAATGACTAATAACGGCTATTTTAAGGAAAATATGCCTATTATTTACATTTAACATAGGTAACACATTGTATTTTCCACATTTTTAAGCCGTCATTGCGTATTAAGAGGAAAAATATTTTGATAAATGTGCCGCCAAGTAATAGTCCCCAAGGAAATGTTTCCTGTTTGTGCAGCGTTTGCAGCCTTAACCTCATTACGTGTAAAGTACATTATAGTTTGTATTAATTTCATTAACTGCTAGAATGCACCGATATGAGACAATAGAAAACACAATGTAGCTCGCGTGGATCCGCGTTGAAACACACAAAAGGTTAAAATTAATGAAATTTAAATTGATAAAATAAATCCCAGAAATGTACCTATGTAGTACGCACATAACTTTAGAACGACTCTACCAAATTCTTTATTTTATATGTTTGTTTGTCAGGAGAAGGGAAAATTCAACGAGATGGACACGAACAGTACCTACAGCATATAGTTATAGTATAAAAAATAACCCTCGGACAGTTTACTTTTTTATGGAACAAGCCGGTAAACAAGCAGACGGATCACCTGATGGTAAGCAATCGGCGTCGCCCATGGACGTAGGAGTTTGAGAATCGTTGGGGATTCAGGAATTGGGGAGATTGGGGAAGGGGAGGGTAATAAGGCCTCCGGTAACCTCCCTCACACAACGAAACACAACGCAAGTGTTGACTGTGAGGCCGTGGTATCACTCCGGTCGAGCCGAAGCCGACCCATTCGTGCCGAAGCATGGCTCTCCCACACTTGTGTTTGTTATTGTCAGGAGAAGGTTCTTATGATAGAAAAAAAAAACTGAAAATCTTATGGGAACGGGAAAAAACGGGATTGCGCTTTCGAAGTCGCGGGCAGAAGCTAGTTATGTATAATAATTAACAATCATTATTTGTCAAATAGGAAAACATCTCCGAATCAATTTCTAAACAAATTAGACATTCCAAACATACATAGATAACTAAAGGTCTTAAGGTTAAATCGCAATATGTTTTCTAATAATGTTTCTATTACAGCTGCCGTGGACAGACAGACAGTCTGTCTGTTTTGTATCAAACTGAGTCATGTTTGTTTAGATGATCTAATGCTCGTCCATCTCCGTGCGAGCAGACAGCGGGGCGGCAGTTTATCTAACGAGGTACTAATGTAACACAATCTCTATTTATGGAGCGACGGTTCTTTAGGCCAAGGGCCGTGGAAATTAGGCGCATGCTCTACACTAATAGTATAAAGAGGAAAGATTTAACTTTTTGTTTCTATGTTTGTATGTTTGTTTGATTGATCGAATTGAATCTGCTCCGAAACTACCGGACCGATTTGAAAAATTCTTTTACCGTTGGAATCCTACATTATCGACGATGAACATAGGCAATGTTTAGTAAGAGAGAAAAGAGGGAACCGTGTGAAAATTTCGATAATGTAAATTGATGTGTTAAAACTCGCGCTCTTTTAAAGTATTGGGGCAGGTTTACAAAAGATAAAAAAAGAATTGGTGCCCGATGTTTTACTGGTCATAATTAATCTGATACCAATTTTTCAGGTTTCTTGAAAAGTACTAAATGCTCCATACTAACTTCCACCCCCTATTTTAGAAAAGTGGTGGGTTAGAAAGAAGCAAAATGCAGCCTATGCTACCTACTTTCAATCCTTTCAACTATCTCCACTCAATAAAAAAATCACATCAATTTGTAACAAAACAAACAGACAAAGATTGATGAATGAAAATTATATTTAATTAGGTATGTATACATTTCTGTTATCTGACATGCTTTTGACAAATGAGTTACATGCCAATGAATCATTAACGATTTTTTCTCGTTGAGGTATGCAAAGTGACAACTATTTGAGACTGAATATTATTAACCACTGAACGTTTTTGATTGAAATTCGGTTCAACAAGAGTTTGAGACTGGCACTGGAAAGGACATAAGATTGTTCTATCCCGAAAATCCCATGGGACAGGAACTGCGATAAACTTCTGAGTCTCTCAATCTTTTAAACCATTGAACTTAGTTGAGTGGAATTCGGTACGACGATACTTCGAGACTCGCAAAATGACGCCTGAGAGTTTTCAACCGGCTGTACCTATTTAATTGAAATTCAAATGGAGTTTTAATCACTTAAACTTCACATGAATGGATACTATAGGGGTAAAAGCCCTATGGTATTGTCTTTGTAATCACGAAAATGAACAACATTTCACAATAAATAGTTATAACTGAATTGAGTCTGATAGCATTTGTAACACAGCATTGGAATTAACCTTGGAAAAGACTAATTAAAAAATCCAAGTCACGGGAAACAGCTAGTTAAATTATAAACTTTGAAGTAATCGTAGTCCTAGAGTTCTAAAAAAGTTCTATCAAAAAATTGTTCTGTAATTGGCAGGTACGAGTCGCGTCCCTAATTACATGAGTTTTGTAAGAAAAGTAGATGTTACATTATCAACATTTAATAATTATCTTGGCTTCCACATATATTCGTTTATTTTGAAAAAACCTAACATAATGACATAAGTATACAGATATGTAAGTACATAGGTCATGCAAAGATTCTGAATAATATCTAGATATAAGATACCTATACATTTCTAGGCAATTGTAAGCGTTTATGTCATGTTATCACATGCTAGGTGCGAACTGAAACTGCATAATTATCTGTGTACTACTAGGACGGTACGTGTTAGCTACGAATCTTGAGATATAGCATTTTTCTGTAGCCCGTAGCCGTAGCGAATACCTTCGTAGCACTGCTACGAAAGTGTTTACTTCCTTGGTCAATTAAACATTGCATTTTACCTAAATGCAATGTTTAATCTATATTATTAATACTTACCTAATAAAGAGCAACGACACAGATGAGGCCATTTGACATAATCGGACGTGTCCTAATTAATTATTATCAAAAACAAAATAATTATGAAACCAACGACTCACGCAGGCGGAGTGGTCTGCAACTGTAAATTATGTCTTTCTCTCGACAGTTCTCGCTCAGAGATGTCGCCAGCTCCTGCCCTGGCCACCGGGGACGCACTCCGAGGCACCTTCACCACTTGTTCTGGCATTATAGGTACACTATTGTATCCTTTCTTTCCTATTTCTAAGTATTTATTGGCACTATTTTATTACGCAGATGTTGAATTGCAAAAATATTCTGATTGAGATGACAGCTCGGTGTTATAGATTCGAAAATGTATTTGAATTTTATTTGTTTCTTCGTTTGATTTTATGGCTATTGTTCATAATCAAAAAAGGTTTTCATACTTTGTAAGAATCTGGCTACGACCTCTACGTTTCGTTTATTTTCGCGGATCGCGGACGGTTTGCTGCAAATATATTACCAGTTTTATATTGCTATATGTTTTATATATTCTATTGTGAAAAGTGAAGAATAGTAGTACTTACCTAATTGAAAAAACATCAACATTTTAGATTAGAAATATAGGTAGCAAATGGTTCTTTAATTTGCAATTACTATAAACTACTCTACGACATAAACTTTCCACTCAATTGTACACTGGTACAGTATCTAATTGTAGCTTGTCAGTTAACAAAGAGTTACAAGGTTATTAAAAAGACTAAATTATGGAGTAGGTAAGGGTGGGTCGGTGGCGTGTGGCGACGACTATCGGCACTCGGCACTCGGCACGACGACGCTCGGCGCGGCGCGGCGCGGCGCCAGCCCTGATGTCGCCTACTGCGTGACGCATGGGGCAAGGAACTTCTCACTACAGCAACCTGTGTTTTTATTAGGTACTGTTACATCATAAGCACTATCGTAGTGGTTATCTAGAGTAAACATATACTCATTAGTTATCCTTAAGATCCTTAATTTTGTATAAATATGATTAGTTCATAAACATCTTTAGGAGCCTTAATTTATATGAATATGATTAGTTGACAAACATACTTTGTACCCATTAAACTTGCAATTAGATATTTGATCATCCCACAAGTATCCAGTATATAAACCTGGCTTGTAATATTGTCTGACACATTCTATTCCGAACTCTTATAATCATCGTACATCTGAACCTCCTAGACTAGTTCTAAATCTATTGTAATATTATTATTATTAATTGTAAATCGTGTCTTAAATTGAATAAATATTTGTCATAAAGTTGAGTTGCTTACTGCCTAACAATTTGGCGCAGTCGGTAGGATAGCTTAGGGCAGTCAGACAGGGATAACGTACCTGTTAGGTTGTGAACAGTGCGGTACCCGAAGGGTTTTGAACTTCCCTGCCGAACCAGCGATGTCTATCCGCACTTTTATTGTTATACTGTGGTAAGTGGCTCAGATATCAATATTGCTCATTCTCCTGATCCAATCATCCTCTAAATTCACTTAAGCCTAAAACCAATCTTATCTACAATACCGAAAATGAAATCTACGACGATGGCGGATACTAAAGTCTTCCCAAATCCTGAACAAACGCAGGAATTTTTGCAAACGCTTATTCCTGACTTCGACACATCGCAGAGCGGTCAAGTCTATCGATTTATTCGCTCCTGCGATAGTGCCTTTCACCTTGCCACGGTCCATCAGACCACTGCTCTTTTAACGTGCGCGATAAACAAAATCTCAGGGCCCGGATCATCAGACGTCTACGCAAAACAGTTCCATAGATGGCTCGATCTTAAAACTTTTCTTATTCAAAAGTTCTCACAAACCAAAACATTATCACATTTAAATTTAGAGCTTCAATCGCTATTTCAAAAACCCCAAGAGACTGTAACACAGTTCTTTCACAGAGTGGATCTGTGTAGGGGCAAGATTCTAGAGAAATTAACGGCCGAAATAACAGATCAAACACTAGAAGGTCGTAAAGTTACCACCGAGGAAACGGCCCTCAGTGTCTTTGTTAACGGTATCAATTCAGACATCGGTATGATGTTACGCATACGAGGGTTCCAAACGCTATCCGATGCGGGGCACTTTGCTACGCAAGAGGAAAAAATCCGTAATATGAATCACGCTAGACAGCAACTTTAAAACTTAGAAACCACAAAATACTTACCATGATATGCACCTACATCTTGGAAATGTGTAAATTTGTCAGAAACCGCCCAGAATATTACAATACACGTGACAATAAGACAGAATATAACTTAAGACACAAAACCAGACTAAACCTACCAAGCTCCCGACTTCATATGCATTCGTCTGGCACCTTAGTTATGTCAATAAAAATATATAACGCTGTACCGAAACACATAAAAGAAGCAGAAAAATATAACGTGTTTATAAATAAATTAAAACGGTTCCTCATTGAAAAATGTTACTACACCCTTAATGAGTTTTTTGATGACCAAACCAGCAAAACTTAACACTCAATGCATACCGACTCAATAAAATCATAATAAATATACCTATGTACATATACTTCATAATAATATACATATACTACGTACAATAATACCTACACATTATTAAGAAATTTATGTAAATACATATTAGAGGTACAATAAAATAAAGAAAATATGTTAATGTTTAATGTTAATGGTAATGTTTAATGTATAATGTATAATGGTATAATGGTAATGTTTAATGGTAATGTTTAATGTGTTTAATGAAAATATTTTAATGTTGAAAACAACATTTCTTATGTAATAAGTATTGATTAAGTAGTTCAATTAGATTATATTTTGCTCCATATGTTGCCGTGCCCTAGCCGGGTTTCATGTTGATACTGTACCTCATGTAACACCAATTGTACACATGATATGCAATAAAAGAATTTGAATTTGAATTTGAATTTGAAACTTTTTAGAAATGCTCCAACAACAAGCACACCCAAACAAATAAGACCCCAACAGCCGACACAATTTCAGTTTAGGGCCCCTTCGCATTACGCACAGGGAAATACTGCTGTCACATCCAAAACCTGTAATTATTGCAAAAAATCGGGACATTTGATCACTGAATGCCGTAAACGCGCTTATAATAGTAGTTTAAGACAGTCAAACGCAATACACCCGCCACGCGTGCCGGTAGTTCAATCACGACCGATATCCTCAACTAATACTAGAATGATGAATAATTTAAACACACAAGCGGCCGGAGAGTTGGACATGTATTCGGAAACCGCTTCCAACCACTTCTACAATGTCCAGACGCCGATGTTGGATTCCAACATATCTCAACAAATGGAGAACCTCCAACTAAATTAGTCAATTTTACAAATCCCATCGCTACTAACTCAATGAATCACAATTCCTTATATCCAGTCCATCGGGGACAACTACGTGATGCCTGTACTCAAACAGACATAACATGTTTCCAACCAAAATCTAGTTCAAACTCAAATTCTATCTCTAACTCGAACTCTACATCGAATTCAAATTCTATATCTTCTAACTCAAACTTCACCTCGAATTCCAACTCTAGATCAAACTCAAATTATATATCTAACTCGAACTATATCTCTGAATCTAGCTCTAAATTAAACGCAAATCCTAACTCTAATACTAAATCGAATTCTAAACCAAAATCTAAACGTAGATCTCATCATAAATCGAAAAATATTGATTCCAAAATTACTAAATCAATTACCATTTCAACCTTGAATGTTCCCCCAGAAAATCTATTACACTGTAAATTCCATATCGAAGGCAAACCTGTCACCTTGTTAATCGATACAGGTGCTGCCATTTCTGTTCTTAACATAGAAAAAATTGGCAATGCACCTCTAGATCAATCGTGTATCGTATCGATTGTAGGTATATCAGGAAATCAATCTTCTATTCAAAGTTTCGGAAAAGCCCGAATCTCTCTCGACAATTTTCCTAAATTTCAATTCCACATCGCAAATCTCAATATAGAGGCAGACGGTATTCTAGGTAATGACTTCATGAGCCAGTTTAATGTTAATATCTATGTCCAATCAAAAACAATGCGCATACGCGATCGTACTTACAAGTTGTTCTATATCGGAGAAAAAACATCTGAAGACACAAATGACAAACAATACATAGCTCAACGATCGGAAACTGTTATCACTTGCCTTACTGAAGATATCCAAAATGGACCCGCTTTAATCGAAAAACAACTCATTACCGATGACGTTACTATACCTAACGCGTTAGTCACAGTTAAGAACAATATCTTTCTCATTACATGTGTAAATTCTAGCAACACTGATAAAATATTATCAATGCCTAAAGTCCATGCAACGCAAATATCTAAAATCACTGAATCCACGCATAATGTTTCACTGAATGTAACAAACGTACATGAAAATATACAAATTAATTTAGACAAACTTATTCGAACGAACCACCTAAACAACGAAGAAAGACAATCCCTACATAAGATCATTTCGGAATATTCAGATATTTTCATTACGGAAAATGAACCCTTGACATTTAGTAATCATACCAAACACACAATCCCTACCACTACAGATACTCCCATTAGTACTAAAACATATCGATTCCCTTACGTTCACCAACAAGAAGTAAAATCACAAGTTCAAAAAATGTTAGATCAAAGCATTATTCAACCTAGCACATCTCCTTGGAGCAGCCCCATCTGGGTTGTCCCAAAGAAATTGGATGCATCAGGGAAACAAAAATGGCGAGTAGTAATTGACTACCGCAAACTAAATGAAGTCACTATAGGAGACAGTTATCCGCTACCTAACATAACTGATATCCTGGACAAACTAGGACATTCTGTATATTTTACTACGTTAGATCTTGCATCAGGTTTTCACCAAATCGAACTCGATCCCAAAGACGTCCCGAAAACCGCTTTTAGTACACCATATGGACATTATGAATTCCTTAGAATGCCCTTTGGCCTCAAAAATGCACCTGCTACATTTCAGCGTGCTATGGACAATATCCTACAAGGTTTACAAGGTGAACGTTGCTTTGTTTATTTAGACGACATCGTAGTATTTGCATCCAGTCTTCAAGAACATGAACAAAAACTCACAGAAATCTTTAATAGGCTCAGGAAACATGGCCTTAAAGTCCAACCAGATAAATGTGAATTTTTGCGAAAGGAAGTAGCTTATTTAGGCCATATAATCTCTAGTGACGGAGTAAAACCCAATCCT